GTTGTCGGTAAAAATTACAAATTCGCAATATAACATTTTAACATTCAAAAAATATCATCACAATAGAAAATTTGAAGTTTAATATATTTTTTATTTTTTATTTTTTTTTTTTGCAAAAGTTTTCATTAACAATTATTTAATTCCTCTTTCCATGCAAAGTATTCAACCGGTTCGACTTTTTCTTTTCTTCTTGCAGACAGAAAAATCAACAACAATCCCTCGACTTGTAAAATTACTTATACGTAAGAGAACAGGTGATGCACTCTCTAAAATTTGTCGTCGTCAAACATACTAAACTGGAGTCATCACGCCCGCGTTATCCAACCGACGACTTTGTATAACCAAAATATCGAGGGAATTCCTCCGATTGACGAAGCTTATCGCGCAATTCGATGACACAATTTCACCCACTCAAACAATCTCTCCCCCGCCCACCCCCTAGGCGACATCACGCAACTCGATGGGTTTTTTCCCCAGAAACGAACGGAGTTTGGAGATACGAAATCGATAAGCGTCTGTCCCAAAAGATAAAAGAAGTACAAAATCACGTCTCTACATACATCGAGCTCACATGACAAGGGGCGACGAAACGTTCAGCTTCTTCATGACTTCGCGATACTCGTCCCGCGCCTCGACGTCGCCATCCTCGTCCTCCTCGTCCTCCTCCATCTCGTTGTCGCTGGAAAGATCGAGCGGCTGGGACGATTTGGTGCCAAGCCTGAGCAGATCGGCAGCCAGCTTGGGGTCGCTACGCCGGGCTAGTCCGTAAGCCGTGCGACCGGCGTAGGTCTTGCTGTCGAGCTTGGCCCGGCACTCCCGCACCAGAAACAGGGCAGTCTCCCGCGAGCCACGGCTGATGGCCAGGTGCAGGGCTGTGTAGCCGGCCAGTCCCTCGAAGCCGTTCACGTCGGCACCCACGCTCGTTAGGTGCCGGATTACGTCGGTGTGGCCCTTTTTCGTCGCCAAATGGATGCACATCAGCCCTGAAACGAAAAATTAAAGGAAAATGCAAAATTTCAGGAATACTCAGCCTTTTCTTTCTTTTTGTAATATTTGAGAGATACAAATTATAGTATATACGCGTGACGAGTGACGCTTTTGAAAGTTTTGATGTTTATGTTTGCATGTGACAGGGAATTTCCCTGAGAAAAAGGATTTAGATGAAATTTCGGGAGGTTGATTTTAATATTTTACTAAATAACCTCTAGTAGTTAATTTTTATTATGAATGCTTTGTTACATTTTTTACATTGAAAAAAAAAAAACAATGTCCCAAGTGAAGAATTTCTTAATTGTTAATACATTCACATTATGAAACCTTGTACTGTAGAAAAGAAGAGAAGACGGGCTTCTAGAGATCAAACAATTGATTTACCGTTGTAGAAACAAAATAAATTCAAATAAAGTCACGTTGAGCCATCGGGATGAGTTTTTTTGGACAGTGTCAGATGCGTTTCTTTTCAAAACGTGATTCAATGAAATTCCCCGTCAAATTATCATAATAAACGGGAGAAAATAAAATTTTCCCGTGACCAAGAATTTCAACATAACTTCATATGCATTACCACAGGAACAATGCACTTGTGTGACTATTTCTCTCTCTCTCTCTCAAGACAAGCACACGACTCATTCTTATTACATAAAGGAGATATTCATCATCGCAGTGCTGCATATTGTAACAATTAGTACTCTCGACACCATAAAATATACAATTCAAGTAACGACGCGTTACTCATAGTTTGCCGTTGCGTTAAAAACAAAGCCGTTTATTTATAACAAAAGGCGCATACCAAGTTCGTCGTTTCTCTCGAGCCGCGCGGAATAATCCATTCACTATTGTACAGCTGGTATGCCTCGAAATCCTGAATGATGTTCGGAACGTGTGAGTTTACATGTATAGGTGAAACATCTATTCGTGTTCGTCCGAGAATAGAACTCGCAAATCCGCTTTCCCTCCCTCCAAACGTTAAACCAGGGCTCGTTTGGCCAAGAGAAAACAGCGCCGAAAAGGTGAAAAAAAAAAAGACTCGTCATGGTAGTCTTTCCTCCGAACGACACGGGTTTTCAGGTACGAGCTCTGCAGCTTCCAGAACGATCTCGAGTTTATATACTTTTTCGGTGAAAAGTTTGAGACGATGTCTCGACGTCGCCATCGAGGGGGAAAAAATTCACCTCATCCTCCCTGGACGAAAAACCATTAGCTCTCAAGAGAATCCCACCCACTTTTCGCTGTAACAATTTTCACACATCTACTGCTGAACATTTCATTAATAAACGTGTAAAAATCAAGTGGGTCACTTATGGGTTCGCAGTGCTTGAGAAAGCATTCCAGACCACCACCCATAAAACAAAAGCGAAATCACCACGTGTATGTGCAAACACCCGATAAGATTTTTATCTCTCCGACTCCCCCCCCCCCCCCAAAAAAAAGAAGAAGAAGAAGAAAAACCGTCAGTTTCCACCGAGTCGTTGACCCAGTGTCATTGACGATAAGATGTAATCGACCTGATTACGAAAGTTGACGGGTGCGCGCGGAACTTTCTGGTAATGGATTCGCGTGGGTGAGCTCGTCCTTTGGAAGAAGCACCACCACAGTCAGCTGACGAATAGGAAGAAAAAAAGCCAGAGCGGTAAGGGCCATCGGGGCAATGGTAGACACGCGGATGAATCACCGGCGTTGCGGAGGGGCTTTGGCCGGTGGTCCAACTCCGATCAAAGGCACGCGCTGTGCCTAAAATTAAATCGTCGCGACGGCCCCACCCCTCGCGTGTATAGCCGTCCCGACACACGTCTCGGCCGTGGTTTACTCTACATACAAACCGACTGCAGCGGGCGATTATTGGCGCTCGCGCGTCGCTACTCCTCTTGTTTCTTATTTATCGCGTCGAGCGAGCTGTATTCCCATTTTGACGATCAACGCGCGGTGTATTATATTTAGATGCGCTTGCGACGCGAGTTTTTCCGGGCTTTCTGTGTCTCGAGGGTATATACATATAATTACGTGATTGCCTTTTTATTTTTGATTTCGGGAAATCCGTCCGCAAACGAGGACCCGACCGAGCGTCGGGATTATTTGTTTTCTCTGTTCGTTTACCAGCGTTGGGGGAATGATTTTCGTTTACAATGCACCGAGAGATAATAACAGCAGCATAGTTGTCGGTAAAAATAATATTGTACCTACCCACGGGAGAAGACGTTTCGGTTTGTTACGCGTTATTCATTTTTTTTTCCCCCCCCCCGGATTCCATCCTTGCGGGTACGTTCACCCTACGCTTTCCTCGACAACGTGTACTCCACCTCGCTGTAGAGCGCTTTGTTTATTTTTTTTTTTAAGTATTGAACAAAAGGTGTCCTCTTTACAAGGACAATCAATTGAAATGGATACACATGCTTCCCTTCGTTTATTTTTGGTCGGCAAATCGATATATTCCCGCCAACAACGCGATCAAAGTCGTAAACATATACAACACGGAGGAAGTGCAACAAAAAAACAACGTCATTGGCATCAAATACCTTGTGTTGCTCGTAAAATAAAAAAACAAAATCCCAACATGTCGTCGGGACAAAAACGACCAACAACGAACAATGACGAGAGTGGAAAATCCATCGAACGTAAAATGGTATTTTTCGCGTTTCCTTTTGCAAAAACCACAGTCTCGCTCTTGGAAAAATTTACGAAAAAAAAAAAAAAAATCGTCCAATCTGACCTAACTGTACAGCGACGCTACCCACAAGCCCCCCCCCTAACGTGCCAATCGATACGTTCAATGGTAACATCGAATACTGAAATAATACCCGTATAACATACAGGCGGGAACCATAGACGACGGCCACGGCATTTACAGATCCGTGTAGCGATTTTTCCGCCAACGAGGACGCTCGGCGTCAGCCCGAAATCAAGTATTACCGATCGCGGTACAAAAAAAAAAAGGACGGACGAGAAATCGGGCTGTTTTTTTTTTAATGAATACACGTATTCCATACGCGGGTACAGATGGGTATCTATCTATGTACGTATATTGGTATATCGTGTGCTCCGTACACGTGGCGTCTTGCATTGCGTGCGAGGCTTCGGAAAGGAGGAGGAGGAGCTTCCCCTTCGTCGACGCCGCAGGCCGGGGTTTTTCCCGAGGCCGCCAGCTGCGAATAGCCAGGTGCACGTTATAAACGTATATATACATATAAGCGCGTGTATGTAGCAACATGTGTGTACGATGCTCCAGCTCTCGCGCACACGCCCATGCGCGTATGTATATGTTAACATTTGTGCACCGCGTTTATATATATATACACACGTCTAGGTCTTTCGAAAATTACATGGTACGGGGGACTGGAATTTAATGTTTATTTATACATACCCCCATGTGTGACGAGGGTCATACCACGAGAACAAACAATTCTGTGATTCAGATCGGGGATGAAGCTCAAAGAGCAAACGTATGAGCAACATTTGAGAGTAAAAAATATTCACTATAGGTCTACGGTTACGGGACAACTTTACAACATTGGCCGATGGATTGGAAATACCTTTTTGGAGATGTCTTATCTTAACCCAGGCCATATAAAACAAAAAATAAAAATATTTATGGCATCTAATACGCTACAAGCACGTGTACGAGGTGAATCATCAAATTTTGTTGCTTCCATTATCACCAGCATTTCAAAATTCCTTGCAAAATTCTTTTGCGTATTTCAACTTGATTATTTGTACAATAGGACCGAGGAAACTGTCGCGACCTGCACGCAACGTGTACCTATACGATGTATCGATATGGTCGCGTGATATTACGAATGCTCGTCACTCGCGTGAATATCATGTCTATGTAGAGTGCACACATTAGGGGGTTTTTATATAGAAACTTACCGACGAGACACCGACTAGACTACATGTACAAATATACCGAGACCCACTTGCAAGTGGGGAAAAAAGGAAGATTCGCACCATAATAGCCGATGCGCCATCAGTTGGTCCCTTCTTTTGGCACGTACCTAGGGTATCTGTCCCAATTATGGACCCTTTAAGAAAAATTTCGAGCTCAACTTTATTTTGTGTCTAACGGTCAATAAAACTACACCTTGTATCATAACGTATAAGTCGTTTGATTCTTTTTTAACAACATCAAATTTTTTTTTTATCAAAAAGTTTTGTTATTTTTATTTTAATGATGAAACGAGAAAAAAAAATTTTGTCCGTATTACGGACCCCCTCGATGGACTTTGAACCTATCGTGGACCCCCCTATTACGGACCCTGTCCATAATGTAAAAAAATATTTGTATGTAATTAAATAAACATTAGAGATTTATTCATAAGTACTTCTCACACTTTTAACAGAATATATGACTAGGCACTTTTTGAGATAAGTTTTTAAAAACAAATTTTTATATAAAACTAATTTGCTTTAAAGGCACTGCATATTAGTAGAATAGATTTTATGTTAATCATACGCATATCACGACAATTCTTTTAACTTGTAGTAATAATAATAATAATGATAACGATTATACTTATCTGAATAAATGTCACTAGATGACAGATAGGTTTTATAAAACATTCTTTTCACAATCATTTCATCAAGAACACACAATTTTCTTACACCTTGGATGAAAAAAAAAACAAAAAAAAACCCCTTTCGCCAAGGTTCCGGGAAATAAGCTGGCGCCACTTGCAGTGTATAGCAGTGGTGGATTATCGCGCTAACTTTGCACCCTCCGTGCGGCTGGCTGATGACCCTTTGCCCGATGCTCCTCCTCCTATGCCCGTCCGTCCGAGTGGAGGTTCGAGCGTAGCGCCAATACTTTTGGCAGCCAGAAGGCAGGCCGGACGAATCGACCCGGTGCACCGAGTTTAAGTTTAATTAACGTGCCACGCCGAATCCCGTTCCTTCGAACCTATACACCCCCGCCCGCACAACACGTAATCGACGGCTATACGTTGTTTCTCCTTTTGGCTCTTCCTTCCAAACTCTGCGGGGCTCTGTATAC